TGCGCCTCCTGCACTGGGTGCGTGGGAGTGAGTGAGTCGCAGCGGCCCTCGCTGGGCAGCGCACACAGCAGGAGTGGGCCACAGCCACCCATGGGTGCCCACCCCGTGGGCAGGAGGAGCCCACCCCAGGACAGGGGGCAGCGACACGGACTCAGGTTTGTAGGAAAGGGTCAGCGTCGGGTTGGAAAATGACAGGGTTCCCGGGCTCAGGTCGGGGGGTCTGGGTCCAGATCAAGTGTAACAATGTGGCCCTAGCTGACTTCTCCAACCCCAGTTATTGGGCTCCCGGGGAACAGGGGCCGTTCTCTGGGCAGCAGGTCAGACGGGATCAGCTAACAGTCCCGTCTGGCCATGAGCTCTCACTGACCTATCCAAGCCTGTCCTAGGATCTCTGGGGCATGTCCCTGGGACAGTGGGGGCAGGGACCTGCCCCCGATCATTGCGGGCCCTGCTCCCCCATGCCAAAGGCATGCAGGGACTAGTGCCCCTCCTCCTCAATCTGGGTTACTGCCCCTGGGTTACTGCCCACCCCTGGGCCAGGAGGCACCTGAATGCCGACCACTGAGGGGCCTGCCCTGGATCACTGCCTTGGGGCTGGCTGCGCAGAGGTGCTCTGAGCTCCCCTCCACCCAGCCGAGCAGCAGGGACAGCACCCTCCTCCCTGCCCCATCCGTGGGGTGGGGAGCTCAGAGGAGGAGGCCTGGGGGGGCAGGGGGTTCGGGGTGCTGGGTGCTCGGAGGAGGAGGCCTGGGGGTGCAGGAGGTGCGGGGTGCTTGGAGGAGGCTTGACAAAGCCCTGGCTGGGATGATTTAACTGGGAATTGGTCCTGCTTTGAGCAGGGGGTTGGACTAGATGACCTTCTGGGGTCCCTTCCAACCCTGATATTCTATGATTCTATGATTCAGGCCTTAAACAGATATCTGACTAACTGGGGCTTCCCTTACAGGCAGGTTAGTCCATTATTGTCTGTTACAGAGATTCTTGCACCTTCCTCTGAAGGTGCTGGTACTGGCCACTGTCAGAGACAGGATACTGGTCAGATCTAAAATGGTATTTTCTATATGTTCAGCTGACTTCATTTGGTCTCCATGGGAGTTCTGGGTGCACAGGGGCCTAATTCTCATTTATCCAAAGGCCAATTTTACAGCATTCTAACACTGTAAAAGGGCCTTAAAGTGGGTGTAAATTACATTAAAAGGTGCCTCAGGGTAAATGAGAATCAGGTCCAAGGAATGCAGAATAAGGCCCTTTGTACAGGGTAGGGAGGCCACTTGCCCAGAACAGTGGATATTCTGGTAATTCCAGAACAGCATGGGCCACCCTGCTTCTCCATGGGCGTGACCTTGCATGCATGATGAAATAATTAAAAAACAAGGCCTACATTTTCAAAGATGAGTGCCTAAAAGATAGGCTCCTGACTCCATAACGAGGCATTGAAATAAGTGGCCTGATTTTCAAATGCTGAGCATTTATCAGCTACTACTAAAGCCAAGCAGCAGGGTGCTCACCACTTTAGAAAATCCAGGCCACTTATTACTGAACCTAATAATATACTACAATCAGTTTAAATTTAAGGCAACCATTTTTGAAAATCTTGGCCTAAACTGCTTGTCAAAGCAGTTAAAGCTCATTTGGGGCTGCATTACCCTTACCTCTTATCTATTTAAAATCTGTTTCCTTGCTTATTCTCTAATTAGCACAATTTAATCATTCACAATGGGTCTTTAATTCACTTGTGAGAATTGATGAGGTCCTGCTATAAATCTGTACTTTGCAGATGATGCTTGTTTGATTTTAGGGAAGATTGAAAATGGAAGCTGTCTAATCTGAACACGATTGTTCTGTCTAAATTCAACAGTCTGAGGATGTAAATCCTGATCTCACGCACTCTGGTGTATCTCCTTTGACATCAGACTCACACTGCAACTATCCAATGTCTTGGCTTCTTCACGAAATTTCTCAATGGCAAATTAAACAGCTTTTCTCCAGGCCTCAGCTGGTGAATGGGCAGGCTACAACTATAAAGGTGTGGGAAATCTTTCATGAGACAAAGTTGTGTCCTGTCATTTCATTTAATTTCATTTCCAAGGGACACCATCAAATACTTTTGTATAGTTTTCTCCCCCCATTGTCGTTGGAACATTTTTTCCTGTACAGATTTAGCGGGTTCTTTATTTGGCAGACATTAACTTTTGCTCTTTGTACCTTAGGCTCTCTCTCTTTCACTTCCTGGTTCATCATGACAGCATCAGTATTATCAATATAGATGTGAGAATAATATGTGCTAATTAACTTGCGTTCCTTTCGTAGCCAAGTCAAAATATTGGAGAATGATACAAATATGTCACTTCTAAAAACAACTGGTAACAGAAATATGTAAATTAAAAAAAAATAGGGCCTGGTTCTTATTTACATTTGAGCCTGCTTTGAAGTCCCTTTATACCATCTTATTGTAATTAAGAATCATGCCTTTCATATTTAGGATCTTGTGAGCCTAAAGTATCTGACAGTATCCCCTTCAGTCAGTAATCGTATACACCTGACCCACAGCAATTAAGTCACCTGTGCTAAATTACAGACATCTGAAATAGAAGTTGTAGGCTTAAGAAATACTCAGCATTTAGTGAGAAAATCTACTGATTCATTTTTTAGAAAGTTGTCTGGAAAGAATGACTTGGAAATTTTCAGATTTTACAAGCAAAGTTTTGTAAACTTAAGAAAGTTTAATTTAAATACAGACCCATTTAAAATCTAAAGAAATGATTTTTCTGTTCTTTCCTTCTTTTTCTTTCGTTCTTTCTTTGCATATTATTGTTAGGTGCTTCTCTGCCTAAAATATAAAGTCCAGAGCGCAGCGGGTGCTAATCCTAGATAAGGATTTCAAACAATACAAAGATAGCGTCAGACACTGTTCCAGCTGAAGTAAAGAACCCAAGTACTTTGAGAGTTTGCCTTGGGGGAATTCTCACAAAGGTCTTTATGGAGGGAAGTAATGTGAGAGGTGAGAGACAACAGAACAAAATAAATATACTGACATACATGCTGATCAGGAATCTTAAATGCTGATTCTGCATTCCTTGCAGTTTTGGGTGCACAAAGAATGTAAGTCATGTCCTTTGATTTGACATTTTTGCAAATGAGAGGGAAGGGCAGGTTATTTGAAATTGTAAGGAAAGAAAGCTATTTTGGCATCAGTACAAATTAATGGGAGATCCGTTTTCCACACAGCTATGGAAGATCCGTAGTGAGCAAGATGGAAGTGTGACAGCAGTACAGCAGATTAACTCTTCTCCAGTGACCACAAGGAAGGGAAATCCTAACCTCCGGATCTTACATACTTTTTGACTATAAATTCTATCATTCCAGAGGCAAAATGAACATTGCTAGAAAACCTGCTTCTCACAATGAACCTCCCTTCAATAGGAACAAAATCCTAACTGGAACACCAAAAAATAAACAACAGGACCTTGATAAGAGCCAAAAGAGAACCAAATATCCAAACAAAGTAGCAGTTCAAATGCTATTGCAGGATGGACAGACTATAGTAGATGACCTCACAATGCCCCCATAGACCCAGGTAATTCTCAAACAATAAAAAACAAAGGAAAAAACAATAATACTAAAATAGAAAATAAAGAAATGTCCTTCCTCTTTTTAAATCAAAAATCAGGATCGCTCCCCCCACCCTCCCTCTTATCTGGAAGCAGGTTAGCTAACCTTAACAGTCTCCGTTTAAAAGTTTATATATATACATATATATACACACACACACACACACACATATATATATATATGTATATATATAATAAAAGAGAAGATATTAGTGGCAGTGTACGCAAAACAAAAAAGAAAACAAAGAAAAATTACTTTTAGCAATCTCACTTTTTTTGTTTGTTTTTTTTACACAAATACTGTTGTAAATATATTTAAAAAAATCAGCATTCTATCTGGTAAACGTCACTTTTGCCCCTCTATAAAATTTTCAATTAAAAAAGTCCCAAGAACTCTTTTTTTTTAAATTATCCCCTCCCACCCACCCACCCTCTATTCCTCTTTCTTCCACAAGAATAAATCCTGATGCAACTGTTTTGTTTTTTTTTTTTTTTTTGCAAAGATTGTGGGAACTAATCCTTCTCTTGTACCTCCATTCGCAGCTTGCAAACCTCAATATTTGTTTTTCTCTGCGTTTCTCTTTGCCTTCCGTGAAAGTCCCTCTTGATTGTGCTGAGGCTCTGGGCTCAGCGAAGACACTGAATAAATTACAAAAGAAAGCCACCGTTGCTTGTTGTCTGAATCTTCCTGGTGTCTGCTCAAAGGTGGTGGTGGTGAGGGGAAAGCGGGATGGGAGGGTGAGCTAAAGAGCGTGGGATGGAGCAGGATCCAGGAGAAGAAGCTGTGATTCTTATTCCTGATCCTGAAGGGACACTTCACCATCCAACCCAAGCCCTCTCCTCAGCCCTTTTAGAGTGTGTGTGTGTGTGTGTGAGAGAGAGAGAGAGAAAGAGAGAGAGAGAGAAAGATAAAGCAGACAAACGGTGGAAACCAGCAGGGCCTTGTTTCGTCTGGTTGCTGTTCAACCAATAGTGATATATTCCACAGTTCTAACTGGATACTGTGAAGTCCGAGAGCGGTCAGAATTGTGAATTACGTCCATTGAAACACTGCAAACGGTGTACTTAAAACGACAGTAGGCCTTGTAGATTTCGTAATATACTCTTGTTTTGTTTTTTTGTAGTGCTCTTCACAAGTGAGAAAAAAAAGATTTTTTTAAATTTTTTTTTTGTTATTTTTTTGTTTGTTTTTTTTGTAGTAAAGAAGGGTTGTATTTAGAGGCCAGTAGCTAGAGATCCAACCAGTGGAGCTCCTGAAGCACTACCTGGCCTTAAGGCCACCATCCAAGGGAGGTCGGGAAAACTATTATTCACCCAGCCTCCGGAAATGTAATGTACCAGCAGGCAAAAAACAGTTCTTCATGTAGTACAAAAACAACGAAACTAAAAATAAAGAAAAAAAAGGAAGAAAGAAAAAGGTAAAAAGGAAACAAAAACATTTCTTAAATTCTAGTGCCATAGCTTTTTTGTTGTTGTTTCTATTTTGTTTTTTGTTCATAACAAAGAGACAGAGATTCTACTTATCCGTCTGACACATGCATCCTCATGTGGTCGTTGAAATGCTCGATTTGGTCAAACTTAGCTGGACAGACAGAGCAGACGTACGTGGTCCCCTCTGTGCAGGCCACCACCCCGGCAGGGACAGCCCTGCTACCAGTGCCTGCTGCGCCGGCCGTGCCGTTGGTGGCACTGTGCAGAGCCACATGCCTCTCCAGAAGGGTCTTGTGGGAAAACTTCTTCTTGCAGATGTAGCACTCGTAGGACTTCTCCCCACGGTGGAGGCGCATGTGCACGTTGAGGGAGCTCTTCTGGGTGAAGCGCTTGTTGCAGATGCTGCACTGGTAGGCCCTCACGCCGGTGTGCGTCACCATGTGTTTGATTAGGTAATCCTTTAAGGAGAAGGAGCGCCAACAGATGCTGCATTGGTGGGGCTTCTCACCTGCCCAGTACCAGAGAGAGAGAGAAATATAAACAAATAAACAGACAAAATATTTTTTTAACAAATTAAGCTCAGTTCAGTGAGGCTCTCTGGAATAGTTCCAGGTCTTTCTGGAATCTCTGGAGACATGATCTGGGGGAGGAAGAATGGTTTTGTTAATAATAATACAAAACTTGGGACATAAACAATACTTTTCATCTATAGATCTCAAAATGCTTTACAAAGGGCATGATCATTATCCCCAATTAAACAGAGGATGAAAGAGATTCAGCCCAGATTTTTAAAGGTATTTAGGCATTGCTGTGCTCAGCATTGCAAAGCCTAGCTGACTCAGAAGACTATATCTCATTTTCGGAAGTTAGGAATGTAGGACTCTAAATTCCATCAACTGTCAATGGGATTTTAGCTCCTAAGTGTGCCTAACTCCCTTTTGAAATGAGATGCAGGCTCTTAAATCTGTTTGGCGTTGCATCACTGAGCACAGCAATGCCTAAATACCTTTTAAAATCTGGACCTTGTCCAAGGTCACACAGCAAGTCGCTGGCAGAGTCAGGAAGAGAACCCAACTCTCCCTTGCTCCCTGCCACATGTTCTAACCACTCAGCTACAGTTGATCTCTGAGCACAGGGCTGGGAATTAGGAAATGTGTTTCATTCTTGTTTTCTAGCGCTCACCTCCTGGCTGGCCTTGGTCAAGTCACTTCATCTCTCTATGCCTCGGTTTCTCCACCTGCAAATATTAGATGGGGATAATGATACTGACCCACCTCACATGGGAGCTGTGACCCTTAATACGTTAATGTTTGTAAAGTGCTTTGAGATTCTCAGGTGGAAGGTGCTAGAGAAGGGCAAAGGATTATTATTTCATAAGAGAGGTTTAAACTTATTGCTCCTTGTTCTGGTCAAACATGGCAGCTAAACAATTTGCAAGAATAACTACAACGGATATTTGAACACACAAAAATTCTTGGGCCAGCTGCACAAAGTCAAAGCTCATACAATGGCTACATCTCCAGCATGACAGACATGAGAATTAAACTGTGTGACTGTCATTTCAATTGAACACCAAAAATCATGGGAATTAGGGATGTGGCCCTCTTATCACAGTGTATTCTCCACCCACAGCCAATCTAAGATCTTTCCCTACAGCAGGTCTAAGTTTTCCCTCAATATGATCCAGGCAACCCAGTGACCAGAAGGGTGCAACTGAGGGCATCATTTAGTCCAGTATATGTGACAGATTTGTCCAGATTAGCTTCAATTGTCCCATGTGATGTTCCACCCCTTACTTTGGGAGACAGTTCCCAGCCTCATATACTGTACTATCAGGCAATGTTTTCACGATATTCACTCCACATCTTATCATTCATCTAAATCCCTAAATGCCACACCAAAAACTGTAGCTCCTTAACATTATTTCTTAAATCATACTTGGGGTAGTCAAGTGTTTTAATTCATCATGCCAAGAATTTATTGTCATTGAGAGGGATTCTAACATTTCATTTAAAAAGATTGTAATGGCACTTTTGGTTTTTTTTGCCCATTGGTTACTCATCAATTTCCTAGCCCCTGGAGATGCTTCATGTTTTTGAAGAGATATTTCCGCTTTCTCTTAGAGTATATGTGTTGGCTACTTTAAACTGTAACATGGCATAGTCTCATATCAACGTGCAGAGACAAGAACATGTCATTGGCAACATTTAATTGCTTGCTTGTGCTGTGAGATTAGAGTATACGGCTCAAACTCTGTGTCAGAAAAGATCATTTAATTCAGACCGGGCGGGGAAGGGCTTATACTTTTATTATGAGCCTTTATTCCTCTCCAGTTACTTTGCAGTTGACTAGACAAAGAATGCATGGGGCCAAATCAGTGGCTAGTGTAAGTGGGTGCAACTCCATTGTCTTCAGGCATTGCACTTCCTTAAAGCAGTGGTGAATCTGTCCCATAGCTTGCAAAATTATTGGCAAAAGCACTTCCTCTCTCCCGCAGTGTACGCCAATGTGGTACAAATTTATACCACTTGTTTTCATCTCTGCCTCTCCAAATAACAAATTCTTTCATCTAGGATTTAAGCAAAAGGTTTAGCAACCGTTGCCAGTCATCAGGGTCACAGGTTTGCAATAATCTGCACAGATAAACGCGGCTGAAGGGAGAGCTTCCTTCCCATCTGGTATGGCAAACAGCTAGGGTTTTGATCCCCGAGATCCTCGATGAGATTGGTAGAAAGAGAACTGCTGGGTGTGATGACCACATACATCATGCAATTGAGCTTTCTGAGCAAATGAAGCAGAGGCCTGTTGATATCCCTCCATTTGCACTTCCCCATTTTACCTCCTTCTCAATGCAAGTGCATTAGTCTGGATTGTACAAATATACAAAATTAAGGATCTCTTACTCCACTATAGGTTTTTTAAAAAGGTAATAGCAGGTAGTGTGACTGACTCAATGCAAAACATGGTAAACACATGATTCCTAAACGTGTGAATTTCCAGCACTTCGGCTCTGTTTCTAAGCACACCTATAACACGACTGTCAGGCTGTAACGAGGCTTTAGCATGGTGAGTCTGCTGCAAAGATGGGATTATCTAACTGTATCTGTAACTCGATTAATCAGCTCAGCTGAACTATACCTCCTCAGAACCAATCTTGCTCCCATTGAAGCAAATAAGTCTTTTGCCTATTGATTTCAATGGGAGCAGAAGCCAACCCATTCCAATGCGTACTCCACACTTTCAATAGTTTACCTGTGTCAACCAAGAAATTCCCCATTTCATATCCTTCTGAACTCCTGTTCCCTGGCTTCAGATGGTCAATAGTTTCCTAGCCAGGAAAATATATTCTCCCGCTCTCCCCCTATGTTTGCTACCGTTTGCATTATTATATCCTCATATATATTGTGATACGGTATTTATCCCGTCATTTGCTTCAAAATCTTTGTGTGGGGTCTTCTCTCCTAGGAATCTCACAAATAAATCAATATTTTTTCAGATGCAAATTTATTTCCTTACCAAACAATCCTTCTTTCACCTTTTCTTACTGAGAATTATTTGCATCAAAACAAGCAGACCCATGAAAAAACAGTTACTATCCTTTCTGTAACTCTTGTTCTTTAAGATGTGTTGCACATGTCCATTCAAGTGTAGGTGTGTGCACGCCCCAAGCACAGTTGCCAGAATTTTTTCCCCTAGTGGTGTAGCATCGGGTTGGCTCTGGTGCCCCCTGGTGCCGCATGCACATAGCACTGGTATAAAGGGCCCTCTTGACCCTGTGCCCCCTCAATTCCTTCTTTACCAGCTGACTCTGACTAGAGAGGAATGGGGGCGTGTCTTGGAATGGACATGTGCAACGCATCTCGAAGAACAACAGCTACAGAAAGGTTAGTAACTGTTTTTGCTTCTTCAAGTGCTTGCACATGTCCATTCCAATGTAGGTGACTCCCAAGCAGTTGCATAAGAGGTGGACTTGGAGTTCAGGAACATGCTGACAGCAAAGGTCAAAGCTGGCATCATCTCTGACCTGCTGGGTGACGGCACAGTGAGTTGAGAATCCTCTACCACTATGAATAGCTGAGCAGATCTACAGAATGGCTTGGTCCTTTGTATATAGAATGTCAGGGCTAGTCTAACATCTAAAGAGTGTAGAGGTTGCTCCTCCCTGTTTGAATGCGATTTTGTGAAGAACTCACTAGAAAGCTTGACTGCAGTGAAATTGCAAAACCACTTTTGGAAGGAAGGCTGGGTGCGTATGCAGCTGCATCTTATTCTTAAAGAAAATCATATACAGGGGCTCCGACATGAGGGCACGAATCTCCAAAATCTGTCTGGCCAAGGTGATGGCCACTAAAAAGGCTAGTTTCCGGGAGAGGTGAACTAATGAGCATGTTGCCAGTGGCTCAAATGGGGAACCCATAAGCCTTGATAAGATGAGGTTTAGGTCCCAGGAAGAAATGGGGTACAACCTGGGGTACAACCTCTCTAGGCCTTCAAGAAAAAGAATAACCATCTCATGCGAGAGGACAGACTGCTTGTTGACTGGGGGATGGAAAGCAGAAATCACTGTGAGGTGGACCTTAACTGAAGAAATAGCCAAATTTTGTTGTTTCAGATGTAATAGGTACTCCAAAATAAGCTGCAAAGAGGAACACAAGGGCAGAACTCCGTGTTGGGAAGACCAGATGGAGAATTGCCAAGTAATTGGTCCTGGTGGAGGGCTTCCTACTGCCTAGCAGGACCTTATAGACCAGCTCCAAGCATGCCTGCTCCTCTGGATTCAGCCATGGAACTTCCAGGCCATCAGATGGAGGGAGCTGAGGTTTGAATGGAGCAGTTGACTGTAGTCTCGGGAGATCAGATCCAGATACAAAGGAAGCAGAAGTGGAGCCTCTGCTGAGAGGCCTAACAAGGTGGCAAACCAATGTTGCCTTGGCCATGCTTGGGCTATGAGAATGACCTTCATTAGAACCTCATGCACTTGTGGGAAAGGATGAAAGGTGTAATACAGATGATCTGTCCACAGAAGCAGGAAACTGTCCATGAGAGACCCCAGGCTGTGGCCTTGCAGAGAGCAGAACTGGTGGCATTTCCTGTTGATCCGGGTAGGTTTAATGGGGGAGTTCCCCATTGTTGGAAAATGATCCTTGCAATGTCCGGCCACAGGGACTGTTCATGGTGAGTGGAGAAGGACCTGCTGAGGAAATTCACCAGCTGGTTCTGCGCTCCCAGGAGGTGAAAAGCCACGAGATGGATTGAATGTGCTATGCAGAACTCCCACAGATGAATTGCTTCCCAACATAGAGGGGAAGAGCATGCTCCACCTTGCCTGTTCTTTCTCCTCTGTGGGTCCTGCTGGTCTGATCGGGCAAAGTACTGGTCTGCCTGCTGGGGCCTGTAATGTTTCCTAGAAGTCGCTGGGATATACAACCCCAGGGATGTCAAGGTTGCCCTGCAGTCCTTAGGAGTTTAGCATCAAGTTTGCTCCGAGAAGAGCGAGATTCTTCAAAA